TTAGTTGACATTCGAGCTAGAGACATAGACGTGCTACGATAGAAAACTTTTTGTAACAAATAACGACAGTGTGTCTATATGTTTTATTACTAAAATATACGCGCGAATTATGCAAACGATGCAATCCTCTGTAGTTGAGAATGTCCAAAGCTCGAGCGAGCATCGTGTAAAGGACACGGGTAATTTTATTCATAAATTTAATGAGATGTAGCTGCTTGAAAAGAGTGTGTAACGCGTGACGTAAAGCTACTCGTAACTTCAATTTAACTTGTTAGCTAGTGACTATAACGTACGTGTACATACGTATACACGGTGATCAAAGAAAGTAGAAACGAGTCGTTGCTATTCGTCTGGTATTCTCGAAACGATTACGAGACACTTTTACCTTTTCCTTAGATGAGCGAAGTACCCCTGTGTCGACGAATTTTATTCTAAATTCAATTCTCAAGTTGAAACTCCATAAACAAATGCTCGTTACGAAAATTGATTCGACGATCTCGCGAGATTTGTGCCGGCTCGGACTTGTGGTACGCGTGTATTTTAAAGTGGTCAAAGCTCGAGTGACTGGTAAAGTCAAATGCGACCAACAGTCTATTGGAACCAACGGAGTACATTAGCGGTAACGATACCGGTTCATGCACTCTCCCTTCAACTGCAACTTGGAATTGTTGTGGCCATTAACCACTCGGTCGAGCCTGAAACAGCGCGAACTCCGACGCGCAACGGGACAGTAAGACGTGCTGCATCGGAACGCACAAAGGCCGGGGTTGCATGCAATCACGGTCAATTCCGAAGGTACAGCGAATGGAGGTGTTATGGAGGAGTTCTTTTTTCTCGAAATGAGGCGAGATAATAGAACGGACCGCGTTTAATACGAAACGCGATAGAAACCAAAATATGGACGAACCCGTCTTATGCATGATACGATAGAGGCGAGAGAATGGACGACGACAACGGCGACGGCGCGGCGTCGTCGACAAAGATTCAAAAGTTTGGAAATCGCCGATGGGTTGGACGGGAAACGAGGCAGAAAAGCAAGGGTGGTTGGAGAACAGGAAAAGGGGTGAACACTGAACACGAAATGGAGGGGTGGGCGGCAATGGATGAAAGAAAAGATAATGAAATCGAACATCCTCGTCGTCGAAGCGAACGTGCCCGATGAAAAAGTCGTGTCGGTGGCGCCCGTCGGTCTGGCCAATATTTTACTATCCAACGTTACCCGCCCTTCCGCACCCATCTCGCTTCGTTTCGCTCCGCTACGCTCCGGTCCGGTTCGGTTCGGTTCGCGCCTCGCCCGCTTCGTGCCACGCCACGCCACGCCACGCCACGCCACGCCACACCACGCCATTATCCGGCGCTCTTCTTGCTCGTGGCGTGGCCAATGTTGGCGAAAGAGAAAAAGGGATGAACGGAAGAGAGACCACGCGACCTGCAGGATACAAGTTCGCGGAAAAAGGAGGAAATTCGAGGGAGATACAAATGCGCCCGAAGGGTTGTGTTCGACCACGGTCGATGAATACACCCCCAGGATCTTTTGGTTTCTTCGTAGGAAATCTGCGAGTCAGTTCGGGGTTACTCCGATGATTCGGGATGCAGTGGTCGGAAAGTTTCGCGGTTCCTTTCGATCAGCAGACTCTTGGTTTCCGCGATAGACGCCGCGCCGCGCCGTACCGATGAACGAAAATTGACCAAATAGGTAGGCACGTAGGTTCTTTTAGGTACGTAGTGGTGAGTTGCTTCGCTTTGCAACGGAGCAAAGCTGTCCGGTCTAGGTACACGATCTTCTCGAGTAGAACGTTCGATACGAAACGAAACGAGGCGTAGATACAATTCGGTTCTATCTACGTTCCGCGATTTCGATTTTCAATTATATCGAATAAATATCTCGACTATGGACGGATATATTTACCGTCGAATCTAAGCCTGAAAGAGAGTTCGTTGCCTTTCGACTGTCAATTACTAATGCGAGACGGCTAGAATTTTCTAGAAATGAAATTTCCTACGGCGAGATTTCCCTCGGCGTATTCGTACCACTTTATTTTCTGTTAAGAGGTTTATGAAGGCTTCCTAGACAGGAGTGCGCGAGTAGTTCCCTTCCGCGGTTCTCGTGCAATAAATTTCAGCTTATAAACACCGCGTACGTAACCGACCTATAAAGAGTGCATTCGCGTTTCCAAAGGCTGCAACCGCTTGCCGTGAACACGGGAACGGGAGTCGGTCAAGATTAAGCTAACCGAGATACGTATCGTACGACACGAAAATTTTGCGAAACGTACAAATTTTAGTTACGAAAGCTTGCAAATCAAATCACGGCATCGCGCGCGTTTCCGTTTTTCCGGTTGTTACGGTTAACTGTCCGTCAACCGACGAGTAATGACGATACATATGGATCGAAACAATTGCAGCAGTCGACACGAGGTCCGCCGTTCACCCTCGGATAGATTGCGAAAAGACCGAGCACGACTCCAAGTAGAGGCTCGGTCACCTTCGCGGCACTAGGTCACAGGTTCTCCGAACGATCGATAAGGAATTCTTTTCCATTACGCCAGGGATAATCGATTTTCTCTCCGAGAGGATAGCGCCCGCGGTGGTGTGTACCTACGTACAAGAGTATACGTCCACAGAACAACTCGGGACTTGCAAATCGATTGTTGGAATTACAAAACGCTCGAGTAGCACGATTCGCGATAACGTGGCCGTAACGAACGTGTTGTTTCGCAACGCGACCGTAAAGTCAGACTTTTGCCAACCGCAACTTCTCTGGAATAATAGAGCACCTGTACGCGGATATCGCGCGATTGCGCGTTTCAATCGCTCCTACCGTGCACCATTTTTACCTCGTGGCTTCGCTTCGTGTCTAACTTTCAAAGAAACTCAACATTTCCGAATGAGTTATCTTCTATTACGCGTTCATCGAGTATTCTTTTCTTTGAGTACTTTTATCAAACACCGCGCGTAACCAGTGTGTAAAACTACAAAACGAGGAGGATGAAACGTCAGGACTCGCCTCGTTGTCAGCGACGTACACGCATTTTCCGTGTCACTCTCGTTCAGACTGCGCGCCCGCACCTCTGAGCGCCGCGGCGAGTAGAAAAATGGCAATGCGGATTGTAAGAGGAAGAAGATAAGAGGGTCAAGAGTCTCGTGCATATAGCAGTGCAACGCCGTAGAGAGTTATGACGTTACAGCAATCGCAAAATTGGGGCAGCTGCCGTTGAAAGCGTCACTTCATGAATTTAGAGTGCTCGGTTTTAAAGCGAAGACGTCTACATTTCTCGAACAATGTTAACTACCCCGATAAACAGAACAACCAACACTTTCGTTTCGATTAAACGTTAAGACGCCCATTAGTTTTTCACCTTGAAATTCTTTTTTCCCGTCGTTTCTCGTAATGGTTCCAATTCGTAAAAGAATCAGTCCTCTAGGATTTCAACTGTATCGAATAACAAGAAAATGTACAATAGTAACATAACATACATCATTCTCAAGTTGTACATTTCTATACATTTTCTGTACGAGGTCGAAGGGGGTGAGGTGTGGATCGAACTATAATTTCATACATCCTATTACGTACTATTACGACTCGAGGTGACCTTAAGAGTAAAAGTTCCAAAAGCTGTTGGTTAAAACTAGACCGTTCCTTTTCTCCAAATGAGTATCGAAAGATCAATAATTCCTTACTTTACCACCTATAATTAAATCGAATTTCCACACTTATCTTACACTTACGAAACGAAAGTTGATCCTTTTTCTACACGCGATGCAAAAATAATCAGACGTAAAGTAACCAATGATAAATTAGTTATAAATTGAAATGATTACGCGTTTCAACGATATATTACCGTTACTTTCTTGTTTCGAGTTCATTGCTAAGACGTCGTCTACATCTATTACAAGCATTAGTATTTGCACCCCATCATATGATATGTACACATTTTCAATATGTACAATTTAGCATCCCATTTCATTTTATTCATTATATTCAATTTAAGTTGAGAAATCGCTTTCATAACCGGAAGCATACGACGCTAGATACACCACGGCACGCAAATGTGTATGTATACATACATAGACGTATATGCGCGCGCTTGCGTGTGAGACGGTGGGGGGTGCACCGGAATTATTTCCGATCACAGTGTTTATCTGGGGAAGATCGAACGTGTAGAAAGCGAGTACACGAGCATCGAAAAGAAAATAAACAATTGCATCGATAACTCGCATTATAGTAGCGATTCCGTTACGCGAAAGTAAAAGTAAAAGTGCCTGCATTGCGTGTTCCCCGACTACCTAATGAACCGTGACTAAACGTACGTTTCATGGTTGATTTTAAAGGTCACTACCAGGTACATTTCACCACTAAAACTATATAAAGAAAAATATACCTCGTTCGAAAATCCAAGGCGATATACGTTCCTGTACGTATAGAAAATGAACTATTACTGAAATTTGAAGATATCGACTTGGATGGAAACGTGATCGTGCAATGCACCACGATAATTGCAAACGAAAACGATGTATTTGTTTATTTTTATTCCACGATGTCTTTGTCATGTATTCAACGTTCTAGTACCGTTTCGCCAGAGACGTGTCCCTGAATGTGACACACACATTCAACATTTTTAAAAATTCTGCTCCATTCTACGATTAACTGTACGTTGCCGAGGAATCGTGATACGCGAATGACAAGTACTGTGCTCGATTTGTTCCCACCTACGTCGGTGAATTGACGTGCTTCAATGGGAAACATTCTCCCGTCAAAGATGACATTTGAACAGGCGCACGTAGGTGCATACCGTAAATAGGGACAACGCGAACGGAAACAAGAACAACTATAGCGATTTTCTATCACGATTGATCGACGCAAATTTCATTGGCTTCGAAACGTAACGTGACATGTCAGCCAACTGCGGTATTGTCGCGCAACAAGAAACAAATAATATGACCAAAAACAAGTATAAAAAAAAAAAAAAAGGGAAACGAAATAGTATAAAACAACTCACTTCTTCGGCAAATTCAAAATCCCCGTCGAATTTTCTCTTACACCTCGCCCCAGTAGCTAGAAACAGGAGCACCGTAGCCACGAACACCCACGAAAATCGCATGGTTCTTCTCGCGAGAGAGATGGGGGAAACACCGTAAGTCCACCGTCAACTGACAAAAGAAGATAACGCGCGGATTTCCGCACAACACGTGCACTACGCGGGCCAATTCGTATCCGGAAGAAACGATTACTGTGAACGATAACGTTAAATAGTCACACACGTAAACTGCAACACGTTGGTAATATTTCGTATTCCTTGTTATCGAAACGTACAGTTTGACGGTCGAACGAGTTGTGACTGCGCGAACCGAACCGAGTCGACGCGAGTCGAGGCGAGGCAAGACGACGCGACGCGACACAACGCCGCAACCGCACTACCACAGACGCGTAGGCGCCCATTGGTTGGATTCCGGCGAATGATAGGAAGGTACGCCAGCGGCCTACACGCCGCGCCGGACGACCGGGTATATAACTCGAATTTGTTGTCTCTCTCTGTTGCTATTCTACCTGCTAGTCTCTTAGACGACTCTCTTCGGTAGCGAGATTCGCGCGAGCGCGTACGACACTGCGCCAGTCGATACCTTCACCTGCCTCGGTTCACCTTATACCCGGTGTTGCCAGTCAGTTGCCGAGAAAAAAAGGGCGCGGGGAATTCGGCAGGATGGTGGTACCTTGAAAGAATTCGCTCTCCCTTCGGATACTTGTCCAAAAATTCAAACAACCGATCAACATTTTTCTCGTTTCTACTTCTTTCTTTTTTATTATAATAATATTTATATATTTGTGGGAGTAGAAACTAAGACAGCGTTGCGCAGGCGATTCGGGTACAAAATAAATCGCGTTACAGGACAGATAAAGGAAAACTGTTACCAAACCGGCGAGAAGTAGTTGATTCCTTCCTATTATCTATACTAATATACGAATTCTGCTATCTTGGTAAATCGTCCACACTAATTTTCTATTAGTAACGAACTTCTTGTAACCGTTGATTAAATTATCCATCGTGAATCAACTAGTTAACAAAATTCAAACATTTTTAATATACGCTGCAATTCACTTTCTCTCCTACATACCGGATAACGTTTGAATATTTATAGCGCCAAAGGACTGGTTCATCTCTTCGGTCCAGTTGGATATATCTATGTATGCCTTGCAGCACGATTGTACATATATGCCTCACGGCTCGTATGTTCCAGCATACTACCAACTAGACACGAATGTCTCCTCGGAGACCACTTCCTACGGAATGTAGTAGCTAAGCGCACGCTTTCGACAGGATCACGACGTATAAATGATCTCTTCTTTACGCTTACAGCGTTTCCTGAGACTTTAAACTTTAGACAGTATAGGATATAGAAGAGCGTCTCGGATTAAGGAGAATTCGGTATTGCGAGGAAGTAGAGAATATAAACAGCGTTGAGTAATATTTCTTTACAAAAAATAACTACAACGTCAGCAACGGAAATTGTGACCTTTCGTTTGTCGAGTCCTTTTGCGATAAACTAAGGAATAATAAAGGATAGACGATAAAGGATCTATAATATCAATAACTGAATCGAAGTCTTCGACTAATTTGTTGTATTAGATATCTGTAATATAACAAATATTCGAAACAAAACTCTGTTCTCGTTTATCTAGAATACCTGTCTCCATATTTATGGAAAACTGTATCACAACCTTTCGCAAGATTATATTCATTTCCTAGTACCCATTATTTATGAATATGTACATACAGTACAGTAACAAGGAACTTTATTAAATCATTCAACCGGATCGGAAAAAACTTTCTACTCGTCTTTCAATTACAGATATTTGCTTTCGTAAAGCTATTATATTAAAATGTATCTATAATCAAGCTGTCATGTTTCACTGTGTGTAGGTAAATATCACTTGTTTCGGTACTGCAAGCACATGCTTGCAACATTCAAATATGATCTAGAATTATAAGATGTATTAATAGTTACGATGAAGCAACTTGTGGGAATAAGACACTGTATTCCATCATGTGCCAGCAAAACGAACATCTATGTGCAAACATCGAAAGATGTGTCGATGCGTGAATATCCCTCTTACTCTCACTTAAGATGTACATAATGCCACTTATCGACTGAAATCAAATATCAAAATGTTTTACTAATAATCATTTAATATTAAAATTGATAAAAGATACAATAATCAAGAGAACGATTAAGCGAAACTTTTAACGGCAAACGTTTTAAATGAATTCATAGTTTATGTTGTAGTAACGGAACAAAGTGATATTTGTTAACTGAAATTAAATGACAAAATTATAAGAATCAAGTTCTATAGGATAAATTTAGTGCAATGTATGAACTTATTTAGTATGTATGTATTATTTTTCAAATATTAACTTACCAGATGGATCGACTAGTTGCGGTTCTGATGTCTCCGGAGCTTTCTCTAGTATTTCTTCGGCAGTATCCACGCTAATTTTGAAAGGACTGTCCGCGATAGTAACATTTGTACTGCGAATAAATACATATATACTTTTTTTTTCTTCAAATCCAATTTGAAATAAGTTGCCTTTTTTCGATGAAACGTATAACAAATTTACGAACCATGCAATTCCACCTGCAGGTGCTTCTCGTTTAATAAGGTTTTGCCAGTGTTGATGCACTTCTTCCACTACGTGTAATGCAAAATCCCTTGACTTTGCCTCTCCATTAAACGCAAATTGATTTTCTGGCTTACCATCTGGTATTTTGTAAATCTTGAACCATTCTATAGTAGCTTTCATTAGACCTGGATAATGTTTTTCAATGTCTGCTACATCTAGAAAATTAAAGAAACATGAGACGTCTACGCATACGCAACGTTGATACAATTCCTACCATTCATCTGTTCCGCCAAAGGATCGTTAACGTCGATAACAATAATTTTCCAATCAGTTTCACCTGGAAGCAGCGATAATCAAAGGTGAAGAAAATATTGAGTATAAAGAAACTTGTTTGAAATATGCGTACCTTCGTCGATAAGTGCAACTGTACCAAGAATTTTTACTTTCAAAATTTCACCCCTTTTTGCAACCTATTTTGTAACAAATTTTTGATTATCTACAAATTCAAATTAATCAACAGTCAATTTGAAATAAATGTTTTGTACCCTATATCCAATTTCAATAACATCAATGGGATCATTATCCCCTTTGTATCCGGTTGCTTCATCCAGCACATCAGGATTTTCCCATGTCTATTGAATATCGGTTAATAACAAAATTAAATGATCCGATAAAATTATTGCACAGTATTCAAACACAAGTAAAACAAAAGATATAATACAATTTAAAATAGATAGAGTTAGAGAGCTAGAGAGATAAGGTAAAATGTCCTTGAACTAATAGCAAGGATTTATGTAACACATGATAAGGCAATATTCACACATTGTACAAGTATATATATTTCAGCATGTAGGTTTCTGTACATGATCCACATATATATCATAGCATTACTCAAATCCTTGTATGAGTTACACTGATAAAATTGATGATAACGTCATGTCATTCTCAAATCATTATACATTAGAGTCCATAAAATATTTGGTATAAGAATGCAGGCTAATGGTTTAGGTTCATATCTACATACGTATTGTTAATTATACAGTCATAGAAATATTTTGCACCTGTGGTAGCGCACCGTAATTCCATATGTATCCATGATGTGGGAAACAATTTGCAACATATCTTAATTTGCCTTTTTTAATGTCCTGCTTAATAGGATTTAAGGTCTCCTTGAGATTAATCTCCATTTTTGCATTTGTCCATCTTGGTATTTCGACTACCATATTAACAATTTTATTAGCTTCGTCGGCATAAAGTGGAATGTCATGCATGGGTGAAATAGGACCAGCATTGTTCTCTATAATACATATAAACAATTTATGTTTCTATGTAAACCATCTATGATATGCTAATTCTTTACAGGGTAATATATATTTATGGTTATTTATGATATATGTACTATTAAAGCAATATTATTTTCATTTATATGAACATATAAATAAAATGTTGAAAAGGAAACGAAAGTTTGAAGTAAAACTACCAATAACTGAAGAATCACCGATACAAATATAAATGAAATACAAACATATGCATAGAATGAAACTACGGGTTGAATTTGTTTCCGTCAAGGAACTAGTTTACTTTCACTGATTGTGAGATTAAATATCACGCCGACATGATACAAAACTCTGTCCATATGCGAATACGTTAAAACTAATAAAAAATCGAAAGAAACGAAGAATTTTTGTACGTTAGAATAAAATGTGTGAGAAAAAAGGAAAAAAATGTGTAAGAAAAAGAACGCGTAAAAAAGTAAGAACCGGTTGCTGGTTACGAGGATGTTCTAATAGTGATTCCATGAACATTAAACTCGTAAAGGTCGAGAGATCAAGCTTAATAGAATTAACGAGTGTATAATTATGCGGTAGATAGCTTCGATAAAGCGCAATAGATGCAAGCCAATCGAATCACACGAGGCTTTCGATCAACGTCAAGGTTATGTCACTGCGTAATACTCACTGAAATAAATTCTGTAATCGACGGTATTTAATGTACCCCTCTCGATCGTTGTATACGACATGTTTCTTACAAATTTGTTGAACACGGAACACAATTGCGAGTTAACTGTGGTAACCGTCGGCACTAATCTGACCGGAATAGCCAACTTATTTAAACTTCGGCAACGTAGCACGTGCAGCAATATCGGCGACATACTGACATCTAACGGTAGCGACGTAAATCAAAACCTCGCCTTCCTATAGAAATAACTGGAACAATTGTACGTTTTATTACCGACACACGATTACAAGGAGAAAAATATTTTGTTACCATAGCAGTTTCAGGTGCTAGAGTTGATTATAGTTTCCGAGGATACCGTTAATAAATAAAGAGGTCGCTCTGAACAATTAAAGAACTATAAAGAAGATGGATCGATAAATGAAACGAAAAAGAAAAACCTTGAAGCAATGACGAAATTTACGTGTTTCATACTACGTTCAGTTGGTAAATGGAATAAGGAAAAAAGTAATTGTGAAAATAAATTACTCACTTACATCGTGTCGAGTTTAAAATTTAGATACATCTAGAGGTCGACTTATGGTCACTGCACTCTTTATTCGTACGAGAGACAAGGGACACGAAATATACATACATACACTATGCGAGACCTTACCAGGCTTCGTAAGCGGCTAAACGATAGTCGGTCATCCATAGGAAGATAGTATTCCAGTAATCAACGAACGTTGATACCAAAGTCAGCCACGTCGCGTCGTTTCAAACCGTAACGAACGAATAATATATTCGTACATAAACGAACGAATATACATATGATAAAAATTATACGATCGGATCGTAATTTTAGATACATGAAATCTAAAGTGATGAAAAGATAAACGCCAGGTTGCCAAACCGAGAGATTGTTACGGGACAGCACGGCTAATCATCGGATAATATCTCGCACGTAACATTGTTTACTACCGATTTTGGAGAAAATTTCCGAGAGCAAAGAAACGTTAGAGATTAGAAATCTCTCGTCCACCGGTATCGCTACTAATTTTACGTTGAACGAGAAAGCCTTTAGTCGTTGATTCATTCCCTGCGTATATCCGTATCGAGGATCGTCGAGATATCGACGAGTTTGAACAGCCGAGGCACTCGTACATTTATCTCGATCAAACAAGCTTAGATTGTACGTTGACAAACTTTGAAAAAACTTGGAGTAAATTAAATGTTTCTAACCGTTACATCGGTCGACGATAATCGCGCCGATAAAATGGTCAAACTCGCGGTTAAAAACGAGGTGAAATAAAATGGTCGACGGTTGAGCAAAGTCAATTAACATTTATCACAGGCAGAAGCCATGTACAGACTCGCGGCTACTCGCGGACGATTCCAATTGGTAATGAAGAGATCAATGGCTTCGAAGCACATAGACGACGATTCGAGGGGTTAGAAGAGACGGCTGAACACTTTTGAGGCTTGCTACCTGTCCCAAGCGCAACTTAATACCAGCCCTTTTCTCCTCCGACACGTTTCACCATAGTTCTAGACCGCATCTCTAAGCGCGAGCAGCTGCGATCTCCCGCGATCTGTAAGACTGACATTTCAACGTATGCGTCGGCTGCTTGATCGTTTCTCTCAACAACGAAATTTTCAAGTGCGATCGACGACAAAATCGACACGTGTTACAATATAGAGACTTGCTCCCGGCGAAGATAAACCGACCATGACATCGTCTCCGATGAGAACCGGTTTATAGTTCTGGTTCCTCCCGGTTCGGTAATATTTCGTACTCTTGGAACGATTTTGTCTGTTCGCAGCATACGTTGCGTGTAATCGTGAATCGGTCGATGTTAATCGAGGGTACCAAGGGTACGAACCAAGGGTACCAATTACCGATCCATCGATCGCGTGAGTGACGAATCGCGCATTCGGAGGACGATTACTTTCGATGAGAATCGCGGTAGGTGTCGCTGTAGCCTGTCCCATGACAAGAAATTTGGTATCGGTCGAGATTCGATCGCGCGACCGACGCCGACGCCGATACTTAAATTTGCCGTGACAAAGGTTGGCTCCTTTCTTTGAAAAGATATTTGTTGTTTCGGTCGTTGATAGAATCAAGGGCGCACGTGTTTACAGATATTTCGCGAGATTTTCGTATTCGTAATTCGCGGAAACCGAAACGTCAACGCGTAAAAACACGTGGTGATTAGATAGGTATACCGCGCGATAGACGAGAGAAGTGCGCGACCGGTTGGCAAGCGATCGCGGGAACGATCGCAACGCGATACTGCTGGTAAACGTTCGATGATGGTACATACATCGTCGTCTGCGACTGCATGAAATTTCGGTGAACGTTGACGGATCATTTCCAGTCTCGTGTTGGCGGACGACACGTGATACCGATAACGCGAGCACGTGTTGCCATTGGCATTAATCGTAAATGAGAGCGACATCTAGGGTGCGTAACAAGGCCGCGTGGCTTCGTAAAACGATGTTTCGTTTCGGGTTTGTACATAGGAGTTGGGACATGAGTCGGACACGCCTCTCAAAACGAAGAAAATCTTTGGACCGGTGTCGGAACGATGGGATAAGGTGGGATCAAGAGGGGCCAAAGAAGCTACCAAAGGAGGGAAAAGTCTCCCCGAGTGGAGGGGATGCGGCCAATAGTCACATTAGATGCAGCCTGTTGATTCATCGGACACGGCAGTTATAGTTGCGCTGTATAGAGCGTTGGACGCGAATCGCGAGAAGATATTCAAATTGGTCGACGATCTTTGTTAAAGTTTCCTTTGATCACTGGTACTTGGAAACTGGTTGTTTCGTAATCGAACGAGTAAAGTATCAACGTCGAGAGGGACCTGTTCGTAGAAGCGTAAGTTGATAGATCGCGACAAAATCTCAGAGTTGTCAAAAAACGAAAACGCGTCGCGTTACTTATATTTATATTTATGTTTATCGTCTAGCAGCAAACGTTTCATAAATTAGTTTTCCGATTCAATTTTCATACGGTTTAGCAGTTGTAGCATATCGGACGAATCGGCGACAGAAATGATGGTTCTCTATAGAGCGGAATCGAGAAATGGCAAACTTTTGCGTTTGGACAAGATCCTCGGCGAGCAGACTATTCGCGTCTGTCGTAGACGAAACTGTCACGCCCGCGGAAATTCTGGGGCCTATCGTAGCCCTCCGCGAGCACCGTGTACGAAATCGAGCAGCACAAACTTGGCGAATCGCACCGAGTCGAGTGAATTTGTTGATACGACTTTCGAATAATAAATGCTTGCTCTCGTTGAATGCGCGACGAATGATATATTCGAAACGAGACGAGATGCCGATTACTCGTTAACGTTAGGAAATAATGTTTTACTAACCTAGATTAGATTAGATTAGAACCGAGTTTTTTCAACGACCGTTATAGATGGTCGCTACGATAACTATTTTCGTTTCCGACCGCAAAAACTTGAGAAATTAGCTCTCCTAACTCTGAAAAGAAGATAGCTCCGAACGACAAGGTACACGGTATCGCTGTTTCTTCGCCAAGAATTTTTAGGTATTTATAGTAATTCGTCGTCGGGGTCAACCTTAAAAACTAGCTCGATGTTGTTATTCGGGTTGCATAAAATCGTTAATCGCCTTTGGTTGGTTCGATACGTATCGGACAAACAAGGAAAGGATTACGCTTACGTTACGTTGGTTACGGTGAAACCATTGTTTCGGAAAACTCGAATGTCTCGTAAACGAATAAACGCGACCAACTGATCGTACGGATTGCGACGGCCGCGGTAAATTTTGATATCCGAACAGTTGACTTGCGATCACGTTTCGTCCGATGCGCAACGATAAGTCAATGGTAATCTCAACGATAAGTTGATGGTAGGTGTGGCGTAGGTGCAGGTGGAGGACTGGTCCGGGCGGCCACGCTCTGTGTTGGTCTTCAGGGTTCGCGAGCCAGAGTCAGAGCCAGAACCAGAAGGGAGCGATATCTGAGAAAACGAGGACTAGAGAGTGCTCGGGGTGAATCGTTGGTGTTGGCATTGCTGTGACCAAGACGCCGACCGCACCGACCGCGACCACTCGAGTCGAGGGCATACATGTCGAACGGATGAGAAGCACCGCGCGAACAGAACATCCCGTCACCATGAAGCCTTGGGCCAATAAATCCGTCGGCCTTGGCCTCCTCGGCCTTCTTCTGATCATTTTCGGCACATGCCTGTACTTGTTGTCGCCGGTGCTCTTCCACCACATTCTCCAAAAGGTATGCGTGTATTTCAGTTCCGGCGCGACAACCTTCTCGTATCTTTCGGACAAACAAGTACCGAGATGAACACCGTGACGAAAACCCGAGATCGAAGGTTGTCTACGTTTACGATTCTCTTTCGTTCTCGCGTGTCCCATGACGCTAACGCGATACCCCATCGCCCACTCGACGCATCTTGCGATTATTTTTTTTTTTTTAGCACGTTGTTTTCTACTATTTTTCCAAATTCCGTCACCCGAAAGAAACGGTCGGCCGATCGTTCCGAGTTAACCGCGAAAGATCACCCGGTCTCCAAAGAATTCGAAATAAAGCAACGACAACTCGATGGGAAATAAGCGGACCGTCGCGTCGGCGTCGGCATCGGTGTCGGTAGTCTCGCACGCGTCTCGCCGCTGCTGTTTTCGTCACAATTGGAAAAGTGGTCGATCGTTTTAGTTGCGCTGGACGAATAATTATTCTCGCCACGAAGAAAGTCTCCTGTGTGAACCATCCACCGTTTCACTGTTTCATCCGCGAACCAATCGAAAACTGAGGCGTATTCCGGTAATAGAAATCCAACGTACGACGATACAACGAATTAAGATCTCTTTATCTTTAATTTGCTCGCCGAAATTCGTTATCTCGAGGAAAATTTTGTTCGTTTCTGATCGAAACGAGTCGAAGCGGTTCGAGTTTGAAAATTGAAACGTTTCAAGAAGGCTCGAGCAAACGCATCGGTATCTGCGCATCGGTATCTGCGGCGATAACGATTAGGCACGAGAAAATTAGGTCACCTTCGATAACGCCAGATCGCTCGTTAACACACACTTTGTATATTTATTTATTTATTTATTTATTTATTTTAATCTTTTGTATGTTTTTATATGAGACAAACAAAAATGAAGAAATGAACGGCGTACTCGTGCGATACAAATGCACGCTTCCGGGTCATCGGTGATTGAAAAAATGAACCAATTCGTTACAGTAGAATAACGAGAACTGATGTTCTCGTCTAGAGCGTTACGAAACTTCGAGTATAGCGTATAGCGTGGGAATCGTAAAACGTTCAATGTAATGGTTGACACAAGCCATAAGTTTATACCGTGAAACGAAAAACGTTGAACGAACGAAGAACGTCTTAAATGGGGTCCTTGGGTTGCGCCAAAAATAACCGTGCACGGCCCTGGAAAATAATTGTTATATTTAACGACTGCATTCTTCCTGTCAGAAAATTTTAGAGCCACCGCATATCATTTATTCGATATAAAGCTTTCAAAAAATGCATCGAAAGCCTTGAAAAAGTCTTTAGAGACCATATGTACGCGTTGAGCCAATCTCCACGAATTGTGCAATATCTTCGGTGTGGTACAAAAAACGATTGTTCGCGACCAATGTACGAGAGATTTTCCATGGTATAGGAAAGTTGCTAGACTCACGGGAGCTATTGAAAATTGTTGAAAAATTCACGATCAAATAAATCGAGACGATCGGTAACATCGAGCGACTGACCGAACGATCGTGAACTATAAGTCGGTAAAACTGATGAAAAAGACACGATTTATTTGACAGGAAATACCGTTGACGCCGACATCGAAAGCATTCGAGGTATGGAACAACACGGTCAGTCTGCCACCCATGTATTTGAAGATACATTTCTTCAATTGGACCAATCCGGAGGAATTGATGATTCGTGGAAAAAAACCGATTCTCGAGGAGGTCGGCCCTTACGTGTTCCGGTAGGTAAAATTACATGTAAGAAGGTGGGTTCGCGCGTTCTCGCGGTGCGGTTGCTCCGTCGCGTCCGCTGGATCAACGATGATCGATACGGTTCGGCGCGCGTTAGCCTAGAGAAGAGGAAACAGCGTGAATAGGGAACTCTGCGATGCTCTGCTCATAAATACCTAGTAACGAGTATTTTCGTGACGCGACGAGAATAAAACACAGTGCGTTTCTCGTGGAGTACCAATTAGCTGTCGCGTCGATTCGTCCGGGTACGAGGCTTCGATTCGCGTCACGAAAATCGAGGACTCGTGTCGGGAAAAAGATTGTTGCAGTCGAAGCGGAAATTGTTTGCATAACGTTAGATTCTTGCCCAACCCGATCCGAGCCGAACCGACCCGATCCGATCCGATCCGATCCGATCCGCGATACAGCTCGAATTCTGAATGCAATTCGCACGACGATGCATCGCGTCGAATTCCGATTATTTACCGGACGAGTTCTAATCGACCTTTTCACCGGACCATTACAGTACACTGTTTAATCACCGATAAGAAGACACAGTTAACCTCGCGATATTGACATCTTAACGAACGAGTAAAACGTGTCTCGGTCGAACAACAAAGTTAGCGTAGGTGGTGCAAACGTTACACATGGTAATTGGCGAATTAATTACTTTCTCCTTGGTCAAAAACGCGTATGGACGCGACTCGTTTCTTTTTCCACGTCGTCCTTCGACCGAGCCGGTTCGCGTACAGTCGAACATCTCCTCGAGGACAACATGCGAGAGAAGCGCCTTCGATTTCGCGAGCATATTTAAATTTCAGCGAAGGCGAAACAAAGAAAATTATGACGAGTCGCGTATCACGGTTTAACGGACAACGAACGTTTAATTATATTCTAGTTTCTCAAGTAACGTTTAGCGGAAACGCGAGCTTCGATTCCATAGCGAACGACGGGACGGGCTGATCGACAGCTGATCGCATTCGGAATTTAACGTAACCGGTACTCTCGAAAGGATCCAATCGTGGCGCACCCCTTCGACTCTCGGTTCGCGAGGATCGTGTCTAGTACGTAGTTTTCGGTCTTTGCTCGAGACGACGGCGACGGCGGTGGCGGTGGCGTAGCGGTTACGCAACGAAAAGATTGCGGTGGTAACGATAAGGGAAGATTGGGCAGGTCGCGAGGCGCATCCGTACGCTTAGCGGTCGGCAATTGTCGCGTCAAATCTAATCAACGAGGCACGTACGGATACGCGAGTTAAAGCATCGAATCACGGTTCTCCGATGATGCGCCCGCACTCCGCGACTAATTGGACATTCCCGCTAGAACCGATTCCAAACAACGACTCTCTTAATTTCACGGTGCGCGGTTCGTTTGTGGAATTTCTTGTCCCTTTGCTTTCCGATTCCCATCGATGCACCTTTACGCGACCATACGCAATACCCTGCAAAAATGACGAAACTCGCGTGTTTCGTAATTAATGCCGTGGAAACTCGTTACGATTACAACATAATTTACCAGGTAAATTTAAATTTCAGGGAAATTCGCGAAAAAGTGGACGCGACTTTTCATCCAGAGAACAACACCGTCAGTTATTTTCAACGACGATGGTGGTTCTTCGAACCGAAGCTGACCAACGGCTCATTGAACGATACCGTCACGCAATTAAACTCTGTTGCGATCGTGAGTAAACTTTGACAAGTTACACCCGCTAGATCTAATCGATAGACGTTTGTTTCGGAAAATCCAAAAGATCGAAAGTTAAATGGATAAAGAATTCCAGACATTTCTCTATTTTTTCGCGTAATTTGACAGTTTTGCTCGCGTTTCAGTCCGCGAAGCACAAGGTACGATACTGGGAGCCCATCGTGCAAAGTACTCTCTCGTATATGCTGTCGACTTCGAATGTGTACATCACGAAAACTGTCAACGAGCTGCTATTCGCTGGTTACGATGACCCGCTGATTAAACTTGGAAGACTGGCGGGTATGGGAGTAGACATTCCACCGTTTGACAAGTTTGGTTGGTTTTACATGGTACGTTGCTACATAGCGTAAAGAGAAAAACTTGAAGAGTTGTGTCGCGTCGCGTCGCGTCGAGCGAAAGAAGGGGTCGAATCGAATGGTTGACAGTGGTTCGAGTCGCGGACGATCGCGATAAAACGATAACGAGTAGTTCGATGATTTGTTTCTCCGCGAAAGTTGACAGAAATTGTTTATTTAATTGTGTCGAGGGCACTCGGAAGGTCGCGGATGCGATTTGCGCTGTCGTAGCAACGGCATTACGGTCGACGATAAATTATTCGCAGCGAGACTTAAATTGGTACTGAATAGGACAGGTCGCGCGTAGGTCGCTGAATGACGAATGAAAAGCAACGGGAGGGCGTATTATGTATTAATTTGTTAGGTCGCGCGTGCAACGTTTACGACCAATCCAACGCTGGCTAGCCTTTCTTCTCGCGCGATGTACATGTAATATGCAGGTAGACGCATAGATAAATCGGTGAGAAAGAAATAAGACCGAAGCGATCGCATCGATCATGGTAAACCAATCGTAAGACTCGGTTGTCTCGATTGTCTCGTTCTCGATCGCTTCGACTCTTTTCTTAAAAGCTGTGCAACAGGGTCACGTTTGCTCGATCGTGGCTCTTTTCGATCTTGTTCTCTTTCGCAGAGAAATGGCTCGACGATGTTCGATGGCCACTTCAACATGGATACCGGTGTTCGCGACGTCGGCGAATTCGGGGTACTGAAGAAGTGGAACTATAGGGACACCATAAAATTCTTCAAGAGTCCGTGTAACATCGTGGAAGGAAGCGCCGGAGAATTCTGGCCACCGTATCGGCGGAAAGACGAGATCGTTCTGTTCAGCGGTGACTTGTGCAGGTCGGTGGTTTGGATAATGAGAGGAAAGGGAAAGGAAACGCGCGGATTCTCGGTGTACCTTTGGTCTTTGTACGTGATAAATGAACCGTCGTCGAACCTTGAACGATCTTAATTCCCAAGTTCCCTCGTTAACCTTCGACACACGTAAATTGGATCGTCCGGTAATCCCGTTTGTTTGAGCGGTGGTTCCTTCGTGGCTCCGTGGCTGGAGACGAGTCTCGCGGTGTTCGCTTTTCAACGAAACGCTATTATTGACGCGACACGACGCGTAATCGTTATCGATCGATTCGATTTGACATTTCACCGAAAACAGACAATTACAGCTAAACCGTTGAAACGTTGTACACATTGTATGTACTTACGTTTTTGTGTTTGTATCGCTTCCACTCGCGTTCTTTCCAGACCGTTAACGTTCGAGTACGCCCAGTCGACTTATCACAGCGGTGTGAAGGGTTATCGCTACGTACTCGGCGAGAAATCGTTAGGCAACAACACGCGGAGACGTTATCCCCACGAACAGGCGAAATACATCGAACAGACTACGACCACCGAGGACTTCTTCGAAGCCGACCACTCGGCGGAGGTCCCAGACTCTTTGGACGAGGATCCGGACGTTGTAAACATAGGCAACTGCTTTTGTAACGGAAAATGCACTCCTGTCGGTTTGATGAACATCAGCGCCTGCCGTTATGGTGCGCCGGTGTTCCTCAGTTTGCCGCACTTCTACAAAGCAGATCCCAGTCTCAGAGAGAGGTTCGAAGGTTTGAACCCTGACGAACAGCAACACGATTTCTTCATCACTTTGGAACCGGTAAGTGAGGAACGGTGCGAAACTGCAAATGCGCCTTGTATTTTTTATTATCGACGATTTCTTTAACGAGCGCTCGCTCGTTATCGTTAGTTGTGACAACTCGATGACCGTCGCGTCGTGTCGGTCTACCTCTCCTCACCTTTTTTCACCTCACCTTTCCTCTCCTCACCTTTCCTCTCCTCTCCTCTCCTCTCCTCTCCACTCCTCTCCTCTCCTCTCCTCTCCTCTCTTCTCTTTACCATGCCTCACCCCGCCTCGCTACGCGTCGCGTCACCTTGAATTCATTGCAAGCTACTTTACGATGCAAACTTATCTTTGGATTTTTCCGTGAAATTCTACTCGATGAGTTTAACGTAAATGAAACGATCAGTTACTGTAAATATAAATAAGTTCGTCGTTCCAAGCGAAGATAGGGCGAAAAAAAAAAAAAGTATCGAGATAAGCGATGTTTGGAAACGCCGTTATCTCGTCGAGCGTGCTTCAACTCCAAGTGCCTTTGATCGGCCTCTACGCGTTCGCATAGACAACAAACACGAGCGAGCCTCCCCACACCCCGCCTCTACCGCTTATCGCATTTCTTTCGGCTATGCAAACATCTCGACGCGACGAAACTAACCCAGTCGAATCGCTTGAAAATAAATTCAAAGGAAACAAATGCGAACGCTGACTTGTCCTTTCACGCGATATTTCTATGCCGTATGTCTTTTAATAACGAACGATTATTTTCCGTCGTTCGCGACGATAGATAACGATGAATCGATGTTTTCGCAGACAACGGGCATTCCTCTAAAGGTGTCGGCAAAAATGCAAGTGAACATACTCCTGGAACCATCAAAAACTGTGTCGTAAGTACGTTTCCAATGATATACAGAATAACACCACCGTGAATAATCGAACGGTACGAAGGTACAGTTTCCCAGCCTAGGAACGACGCGACGCGACGCGACGCGACGCGACGCTAAAGAATCGCGTGCACGCGCCACCGAATCCATACTCACAAACGATTTGTATGCAGCCTTTTCAAACAGGTTCCGACCATGTACTTCCCCGTGATGTGGTTTTCGTTAGAAGTCGAAGGCACCGAGGACTTATTCGACAACTTGAGGAAACTACTGTCGCTTCCGAACGTGTTCATGTACGCTGGCGCGTTTCTGATTCTCGCGGGAATCCTCGTAATATGCGTCTTGGCGCTGCTCTACCTACTCAAGAGGCATCGAGCCGGTGCGATAGCCACCGGCAAGGTAATCGACGTTTTCTTTGGCTTTCGTTCGCTTAGATATCTCGCCTGCCATGCATCTCTTTCCTTCCTCCCTCCCTCTCTCCACCCCCCCTCTCTCTCTCTCTCTCTCTCTCTCTCTCTCTCTCTCTCTCTCTCTCTCGCTCTATCTCTCGCTCTCGATTATCGGTTGACGGATGACAATTTTACAGAACGTGAAATTGAGAGCGATATCGCCTGCTGGAGATAAATCCGAGTTAATGTACGTGGACAAGAGCGTCGGCAACGAAGAGGATGGTCACGCGAGAAACGATCGCAAGCTGTATCCCAGCTCGATCGAGTGTTTCAACATGGATCTGCAGTCGAAGCTTCAGCATCGAAAGTAGAGAAGAAAATAGGGAAACGAACTCGAACATAGTTACGTGGGTGTAATCTCGGACGACTTGGCAGCGATTCGATTCGATTCGATTCGACGATCGAAAATGCATCCAAGTCTGAGGATGCTGCGAAAGTCGGCAAATCAACTACGAGGATCCTAGGATCTGTGTCGAGCAAACATTTCGTGGATCCGTTTCTCACGCAAACGGCCCGTTTCGATTCAAACGTGACGCGTTCCTGCGATATCGGTCGACGTATTTCGGTGTAAGAAAGCATTAGGTTATCCCGTTAGCTGTATAAAAAAAAAAAAAAAAGTCCATGAAATTTAAGACTGAGAAAGAAGCGATAAACGCAAGGAACGAAGCTTTAATTAGTATAAAGTCGGAGATCGTTGTTCGATTCTCCTCTCTTCGCAACGAACGGAACGCGCTAATGGGTTTACCTATACTGTAAGGGTATGCAAACGTACCTCTAGATCTGCGTGCGGAATGCGCAAACGCAACAGGAGCAAGGGAATTAACGCGTTCGAAATATAAATTACGTGGTGCCGGCGAACAAAGAAGACTAGCGTACGATCGCTGACGTTTGCATCACGCGTTTGAATAGTTAACAATGTTTACGCAAGAACGTTTGGTATCGCAAGGTAGGCGTTGATCTATTTAAAATGACGTTACTTGATTTTCACTTAACTTCCACTCGATTTTCACTTGTTTTTCAAAAGTTGCGGATGTCAACAAACGACGCGACAAGCCTCGATCTACGAACATAGCGTAGGAGGTGATTTAATCAAAGCCAAATTCGAGTGTCTCCTCGTCGACGCCTGTCGTCGAACTGCGCTATAGTCGAACGCTGGTTCGGGTGAGGCACAAAAGTGTTTTTAGAAACGAGCTCAGGATGTTTATCCCCCAAACCAACAACAACGGCATCGACAAGCCTACAATAGATACCTAGTACGTACCTACGTACGCAAAGCGCGTTAAGATCGATCTCAGTCGTTGCGCGATTCGATCGAACGCGCTTCGTAGGTAGCTGTGAGCGTAATCTTGCCACGTGTTTACGTTTGAACGTGAAATATGATATATACGACCGGTGCTTCTGGTTGTCCTAGGAACGTACAATTTTGTATTGTATTTTAATAAAAGTTGGATCATTTTACTACGTTAGGCGAGTAGCTTGAGTGTATTCAGTGGAAGAAAGGTACGCGAATTTTCTCGTTTCTGTGACAATCGAGTGAGATGCGTCTCAAGCAAACAAGATTTACGGCCTACGTATCCGTTCCCCAAATTATCACCGGAAACCGGAAACGTTTCCTCTTTGTTTACGCCATTACGACGCATGGTATCGAGTACTTGCTCGCGAAACCAGAGGATGGATGCACGACGTGACCAGACGCGACGAGATGTGTTTCTATAACGAACGATTGCGAAACTCTCGTACTTTGTACAATAACGGGAAACTACGGCATTTACCATATACAAGGTGTCGCAAAAGTCCACCGCTACCGCGGCCGCTCGAACGGTCTACGCGCGCTCTGATTGGTCGGGGTTTTCTCTTAATAACTCCTTAACGAAGCCCCATCCGACATTTTTGCAAAGGAAATTGTTGTTCAGAATCGTCTCAGCTACCCCCCATTTCCGGCTCCTTCCCGACTTTTGGGACACCCTATATACATACTATTTTGCTCACTGCTCTCAGCCAAAGAGAACGCATCCTTCGCCGATAAAGTAGAAAACCTGTATTCACTGGAATGCTACGTGAAACCAGCGACCGTTCTCGTCCGAGTCGGTTTCGCAGTTCGTCTTATCTTAACCGTTTCCGGAAAATATCTCGGGGTGTCGAAATCGTAATTATTTTGTCGGCAAATGAAACACCGACGCGTTACCGCGCGCATTAGTAGGCTTATACATCGGCAGATGTCGCGTACGCTTCGTTTCAAAGACTTTTACGATAACCGATTCGTCGAATTGCTCTTCAGTTGCTTTCGCTTCCGCTGGGTGTTCTCGGACTAGTTATTTTTCTGAATGTTTATTTACTTTGACACGTACGCGGTACGACACGAGCAGTACCCGTTACTTTCACATTCGACTAATAACAACGATAATCCTACCGATTGATCTGTTGACACGCCAAACGCCGACTTTGTAAAATCCGTCCCGCGACGCAAAACACGAGCAGATATGTATTTCTCGGCAGTGTTAACAGTGCCTAACCTTTTGGACATTGATAAATCTTGAGCGCACGTTCGATCGACACCGATCTCGAGAATCGTGGTCGTTGGAAAGGAAAAGTTTCCAACGCTTTCGTTCGACAGCTGAAACCGTATCGTTCTTGACGATCACTAGGTTTTCGGTACGGAGTACAGCAACGTGTTTCGCGATGCAAGGTGAGTCGCTAGAATAATATGCGACACGACGCCGACGTTGCGATATATACGATACGCGATATGCGATACACTGCGAGAGATGTGATTCTCGCAGTTTACGACGTCGTGCCGACGCGCGACGCGGCATGACGAGCAACGGTCAACGCGATAACAATTAATGCTGATTAAACTGAATTCTTTTGGGTCGACAATAAATAAAATTAGCATGTACGTTGCCGTTAAAAATGAACGGCTACGGGACACTGTTGGAAACTAATTACATACATACATTCGTAATCTTCACGTACGTTTCGTATTAGGTTAAAGCAAATCGCTGGAAGAGGCGGGAGGGGTAAGTAGATGAGCTAGTGAACTACCGCGGAAGACGGAAGAAAAGAGGACAAGCCTAATGATTGCGCATCGAATGAGACGAAAGGCAAGTTGTGATCGAACAGAAATGAAATGATGCGAGTTGCTCACATCAACCTCGATGTCCACGTTGACGTCAAAGAAACCAACTTCTCACGGCGCGGCGCGACCGTGGATTCGCGCGACGCTCTCGAAAATCAATAACCAACGCAACGTCTTGAACGTGACTCGCTCAAAGTTCTCTCGCTTCTGAAATTTTCGTTTGCGTAGTCATCTGTTACTGTGTTCGGTCCGTCGCGTCGCGTCGGGTCGCGTTGTGTCGCGATTCGATTTCGGAAGGAAGCCAAAGATCTGTCCGCGACTCATTTTAAAATCGCTGACAAAAGCAATCTTTCTTGGTTCGTTCACTACAGCGGAACAATTTTTTTCCGAAAAAATCAATCTAACATTCAAGGTATTCAATTCGATAATTTCATTTCGACTGCGTCTCGATATCGAGCGTTTTCCAAACGAAATCGTTCTCCGTGCTTGCCTTATTCGCTACATTTCCATATTTAATCCATGGTCGTATTTCGTATCGCTTCGAATTTCAACGTGCTCGAATTTTTGTCAGTTTAGCGGCAAAGTCGCCCAAGACACCGCCGTAAATGTAAGCGAACATTCAATCGCTTAATCGTCGCGTCTGGGAGGCCATTTCGATTTTCCGGAGCGTTTTAAAGAGGATATCTGAGAGCACTCGAGACAAAGGGAGAAAGAAAGAACGTCGACTCGAGGGGATTAGGGATGGCGGGGAGTATGGACCTTCGACTCGCTCGACAAAGGAAAGTATTCCCTATTGTTTCGGGAAAACTCCCATTTTTCTACCGTATCTTGCAAACGTCGGCCCCTGAGAGTCTGTCTGTCTCGTCTGGTCTCGCAAATGTGGGAACGGGCATGGAACCACCGTTGAACTGAATAATTCCGAATGCAACGATGCAACACCTACGAATCGTGTTCTTACCTACTTTAGTACCAACTCTCGATTCTCACACAACGATTTGTTAGCCTTTGATCCCGCGCTCTCGACAGATGTTGCAGCCCTGATCCCCTCGACCGGCTCCGAAAACAACTTCTGTCTTCGCGTTTACGGTTCGTTAAGGGCTCGTGCGCCAAACACATGTCGCGCACAGCGAATTTTTCGTCAAAGGCACGAGCAGCTGGCCGTCAGCGTCGACGCGACGCAACGTTTCGGAATGCTAATCGTAGTCGTAATTTCAATTCAGCGTAATCGACGCCATGAAGATGCGATCGTTCCGTAAAATTTACCGTAAAGATAAAAAGCAAATAATTGTCCGGCAGGATCTTAGAGGAACTGAGAACGTCCGGAAATGTTTATTCGAAACAATTACAAAGATTGTTGATCGATTCTCGAAAAACGATACGGTAGCGATGGTATCCCGAATTCCGATACGTAACGAGATACATAGCCAGAAACACGGAAAGTTTCGATTCGCATTGTTCGACGGGCAGTGGCGCGCGAACGTTCGCGACGAACGCTGCGAATTCTTTCTGTCCCACGAAGCGCTTACTAATTCGATTCACGCATCGCGCGAATCGTGCCACTCGTGGCATCGAGAGGCCCTTCTTAATTCGAGCCCCGTATCCGTATGTATCTGGTCCCCCCTTCCCACGGTCCCCTGATTCAGGCCACGTTTCACCGAATGTCTGAGAGAACGAATCGTTCGAACGCGTGTGTGTGCAGTTGTGCACGCGGCGTGAGTCCTGCGTCCTGCGTCCTGTGTCCTGTGGCCTATCTAAGTCCGTTGCAACACATGCGTGGTCAGAAGTACCGCGCTGTGCACGCAGCACGCGGCTCTGTATTGCGTGTACGGTTGGATTTGGAGGATCAGTCGACGCACGCCACGGGAACGGGACGCCAACGACCAACGACAGTCAGTCGTTTCGAGGCTGCCGACTTGATCGGGTGTCGTTGAGTGTGCAGAGCTGCGCCGATACTGTGCTCTCCCTTTGTCTTCGTCTTTGACTTCGACGCAGTTTTTCTTTACCGAATCTGCGATATTTGTAGCCGTCGTGTCACCCGCTAGCTCTATCCTGTGCACTTTTCTCTCGACGAGTAACACGACGCACCAAGGACCATGAGTAACCGTATCGGGTGTGCGATAACGAATCTTCTTCTACTGACAGTGATCCGTAAGTTTTATCCGATATAACGATTTGCACGTGAATTTACCAAAAGACGTTCGAGCGATCAAACGTATTGCAATCGCGCTCGAAACGACTGGAGCTTTCGATCGTTTCGCTGCTCGAATCTTCGAAACTGTGGATTAAAGCCGTTGCAATCCGTTCGTTCGATTCCTTTTTCGAACCCTACGACCGCTTTTTCTTCGAAACGGTTGCCGACGTAGCATTCATTTATCCGCGTCGGTATCCTCGCGAGTGTTTATTCCGTGTTTCTTTCTTTCTTCTCCGAGTTTGTAAGCAACTCGGCCTGTTCTTAAAAATAGATGGAAACGTCGTGACCGTGCCGCGAGGGTACGCTAACATGGCGCGCAAAAATAGCGCGATAATAATTTGTTTATATCGCTCGATTTCCACCTTGACGCGTCGATAGAGAATAACCGTTTGCATATCCGCTCTCTACCTGACTATCTTTTACGTGGAAATTATGCGGAATTGGATTCCGTTCGAAAAGATGCACGGATAAATCGTCGATCGATATCAAATCATGATTGCTTGTTATAGCTCCACGGTTCGTGGAGAAAGACGTATACGTTCGTATCTTGATAGTTGCCTTCCATCTACGCCAAAGAAACCGTTGACGCAATAGTCAGAAAACGCGCCTAGCGATGTTTGTGCGAATAATCGCGAGCAAACAATTAGCAGGGAAAAAGTTAATCGTTGCGTGTCGGAGCCTGTTACGGACGTATTAATAGTACTAATTAACCTAATCGACCGAGTCAGGGATCGATACACGTTGGGTTTTCCATTTAACGATAATAAACACAGGCCGTCCGTTAGAGGACCGGTTAACCAGTCGCGGTCTACCTATATACCTGTATTATAGTTTATAAACAGACTACAAAGCGTGTCGACTCGAGCGCGTATCGTTCGCCGTTGATACGATTATAGATTTCTACGAGCACTCGCGGGAGACACGCGTCACGTCACGACACACTCCGTGTCCGTTAGCTCGCTCTCGACGTTAACCGTCGCATGTTCTTACCGTTTAGCCCTAACACCGACTAATCGACAAATCCTGCGAATCGAAAACTTTACGTATCCTTTTCGTAGACGATCGCGAAAAATCCGAAACCCGATGCTGGTATACGTAGATACTCTTATTGGGCCCACCCACGGTTACTCTGATATATGAGTGAAAATCGATGACCTTGAAACGAAAGAAGAACGCACGGATATAGCCTCGGCCAGCCGAATCTCTTCCAGTATCGAATGGTTAAAAGTGAAAATTGCAATCGCGAAGGCGGTTCGATTCGGTCCAGTTGCGTTGATCCGTACGATCCGCATTTAATTCGTGCAGTTTATCGGTTGCCCGAAATAGTAGTTGTACGTACGTATTCTTAACCGCGCGCGGCGGGACATGGCGATACGAGGAAGTGACTCACGCGCGTGTAATACCGTCTGCGTCCCTATCGACGCCCGCGTTCCAATTTCGTCGAAATAAAAAGAGGTATTCGTGGTCCCCGATCAAATATTTGCCCACGATAAGGCCGAAAGCTATAAGAATTATCAACGGACGAGTTTCATCTCGACGAACTCGCACCCTCTGGTATAGCGTCGATGTTGAAACGATTACTCGAAGCGACTAAAAAATCTACGTGCGCTGTTACACTCGAACGTTTTTCACGTGCACATACGAAAGCTACTAGTGTTTAATTTCGTCATGGAAATTTTGTCTACGCGAACGCGCCTAAACTGATTACCTGATAAATTTGGAGACATCTTCCGATCCGAGATCCGATCTTTCCGAAACGCTATCTTGGTCGTGTCGAATTCTATCGAAAATTAGAAGGATACGTATCGAAATTGTCGCGAAAGAATCGTTTCATCGCGAGCAGAAGCGAGTCTACCGGTGGAAAATATACGATATCCGCCTGTACGCACAGATACACGGTTTAGCGAATAATTTACTTTTTGATACCGATATCGCTTAAAGTAACCGTATGACGCGCGTGTAGATATTATGAGTCACGAAAGCAAACGAACGCTATTAGCTCCATTCTGTAATTACGATGGATAGGGACACGCACGTATACGACATATTTGATCCAGATACGTCAGTTTTTAAATTTACTATGTATACGTGATATTTAAAAATTCGTCGTTTAATTGACGAGTTTGCGAATTATCCGGGGGAATGCCCTACCAATCAGATTCCAGCTCTCCCGATTAGCAAGTCAGCAACGCCATCCCAACGAACCGAGATGAGAGAAATCGATAACATAGCGCGTGTATTCCGGCAATGCCGACGGAAATATGTTATAATACGAGAGCGAACGAACCCGTGAAAAAAAAACCTGGAGCAAACCGCGCTCCAGGCTCGAGGAAAGCGAACGAAAACTGCCAACTATTCGGTTTGTTGCATCGGCAGGCGAGAAGGGAACGGTTGAATGTTTGGAAACGTGTATCAACGAAAAACAAACGTATCGATTAAGAAAGATAAGAGGAAGACGTTGGCGCGATATTTATTTATTTCGCAAAAATACCATTGTTGATAACGAGTATATCGCGTGTAAAGACGACGCGTTAGGTTGCGAGAAGCGTTGCTCGTCGTGCATCGTGTCTTACGGAGACAGATGATCGATTGTTCGGCCAATTAGAGCGAGTTAGGTGTAATTCGCACCAAGTCGGATCTCGCTTCGAATTCGAGACTCGCAGCTGTTCGCGATTCGCGAACCGGAGAACTCTGTAGATCGGGGGAAAGGAAAAGGGCTAGAGATGCGTTTTACTCGATGGTGTGTTGGTCGACGACCGATTCGCGGACAGACCGCGGGTCTGTTTGACAGTCGGCAAAAGTCCGACGTGTTATACATATGTCGGGTTCGTAGATACGGATATCCGAGATAGTGAGCAAGTAAAGTACACAAGGAACGTCGAATACTCTTTGTTGTCCGTAGCATCATTCGCGATTGTAAATTTGTGCGTCGTCGATTACTCGAATATTAAAAGGATCGATGAAAAAAACACGTTTCTTCTCGTTTAGAGTAACGTTTAGTTGGTCGTGGAAATAGGTGGAATCGTTCGGAAGACCGCTCCGATCCGTTTTACCTCGGCGCGGTGACGCCGACGCGTAGAGCGAGCCCTGCATATCTCCAGCTCCGGTGAACCGGAAGCGGTTCAATCGAAACTATTGTATCCAGAGTTCGCTCCGTATCGATTCGTCCAAGTGAAACTTGCGGGATGTAACTGCGCGTTCCGAAATAATAAACCGGGATGGACGATACCCGTTTCTTTTTGTGATTTCCTTCTGAAACATGACTGCCCGCTTTCTTCGATTTCCGATTTCCGATTCCCAATTTAACTCGGAGAAAAATGAGGGGAGGAAAAAATCACGTTCGTCCACGGTCCTCGAGCGGGATAGATGGCTGACAGCGTCGGCGTGCAGGATGCCGAGGGCCGTAACGACGCGACGCGACGCGATTATCGATCTCTCGAGGCACAACGAGCAAAGTAGGGCGAGATTCCCTGTCGTCTGGTCCCTCCTCCGAAAACTCACCGAATCCTTGTACCGGGCCTCGCGCAGCCTTGCGAGGAATTCACACTCCGCGTGCAATTGTGGAACGAGCCCTCCGAATATTGGGTCAAAGGTCGAGTGGCCTCGAGAATATTAATGCAGAAGGTCGAGTAGTCCCGCTCACCGTTCACGGTCTAACTAGTCTCATTCTGTGTCTGTTTGTTTTAGAAACTGTCACGTGCAAAGGCTCCACGGATCCGAAGACCTTCTTTCCTGCAATCGATGGAAATCTCACGCGAATAGTGTGGGCTCACGCCGTAAACAATCAATCGAAACTGAACGAAACGCTGAAAAATGGTGAGTATCGTGCGTACATAAATCGGATCGCTTCAATCCAATCCCGTTGGATTGGATCGAACATTGAGACCACACCGGATCCAAAGCCTTTCGAAAAGCTACAATTTCGAATAGTAACCGTCGCGCTGCATTCGGTGTTTCTCCTTTAACACCGTTCAAACGATCTCTCTCTCTCTCTCTCTCTCTCCCTCGAGTAGCTGAATCGTAGCTCGTTACCAAGCGACGTGACAAACTTTAAATGGTGTCAGAGGTCCGCGGTTGAGGTTCGGATGCATCCAACCACCGCCGACCGCGGCAACGATTATCGATCGACGCATTCCCTTCGGATAGGAGGTATCGCGCCGCAACCTGACCGAGTACGAAAGTAACGCCGTAAAAATTCCTTTATATTCCATCGAAATGTTGACGATCCGTTATTGTCCTCGGATACAAGAGCGCGACCTGAAAAGCGTGTTTGTTAGCGTCAGACGCAACGAACGTCGCGCTAATTATCGCAAATAAACGTTTCGTGTCGTTCCTTGATACGGCTCAGAGGTCGCTCGTCGACGTTATATTCAGGACTCGCGTTGTTACGATACCGGACGTACGTTCGCGTAATTAATATTCCGGAAAAGTATACTCGGCTACCGCGCCGCATCGAGTCGAGTCGAGTTGATTCGAGACAAAAGATTTTCGAGAAACGGCCTGTTGTCTCCGCTGAATGTCAATGAGAACTCTCGAGAGAGAGCAACGACAACGTCGAAGCTACCACTGTAACGGAAGGTCGTTGTTTAGGCAGACGCAACCTTGATCCTAGAATTGCAGGATCGATCGCGTATCGTCGTTAGCGATGAAAACGGGAAACGAAAGCGGAGCGTGCTTTTCTCGGATGATGGATGAAACTCGAATCGAACGTCGACGCGACGATTGCTGCTCCGCCGTGAATCCTTGGCGAATCTAGAATGTTGCGAGCGAAAAGTCGATATGACCCCGATGCGACGGCTCGGAGGGTATTTGGTCCGTATTCGATGTCAGCGAGGATATCGAAAAACTCGTACCGCTAAACACCGCCGAAGAATCCGTTGTTGGCTCTCACAGCCTCTTTAACCGTGATCGATATTCTCGTTGCGCGTCTCAACGTCTACGTCTACGACTACTCCTAACCAAACGTGAGTTTCTCTTCGCGTAATTTTAACGTTTCTCGGTCATCATTGCTCCCACTCCCCTTCTCCTCCCTCTCTTCCTCGCATACTCGTAGCCGAGTTATCACAGAAACGCGGATTTTCTTTTTAAAGGCGACATCATGATGCTGGAAGCTGACGTCTCGCTGGGTAACGTTACCGGTACCAATTCGATCGGTGTTCCGATAATGGCGCATCCACCTGCCAATACGAGCGATCTGTCGCTCCAAGATTTTCTCAAGATGGTCGTCGAAAGTAACACCACCAAGGGTATCAAACTCGACTTTAAGTCTGTCGAGGCATTCGAAGCGAGTATCCCTATCTTGGAAAAAAAGAAAAACGACGTACGTATACGTGCCCGGTATATGCAGATTTTTCAACCGACTGCAACTCGTGGATATTTGCGAATCGCTGACGTTAGGAGGCGATAGTCGAGAATCTTTGGGATTCCTTCTTTTCTCTCCTACTCGGAGGAGTTTGATCGGTCAGCCGGATTGTTCGGTTTCAGCTCTCGTTCCCGGTATTCATAAACGCGGACATACTCCCTGGACCGGTGAACGCAACTACTACAGCGGTGGATGCAAAGTCCTTCCTGAGCAAAGCCAAAGCATTCCCGAATTACACGTTATCCGTCGGCTGGACTACGAGGTGAGGTTTGGAGATAGTAGCTATCGTAAACTGTAAGGATCTGTTGGTTTCACGATTTATCCGTATTGTTGTTTCAGGTACGGAGGCGAGACGAACATCACCAAAGGTGGGTACACGCAGGAGCAAATCGAAAGTATGATGAACGTCCTGAAGGAAGAAAACGTGACGCAGCCGATAACTTATCCCGTAAGAGCTGGTCTAGTCGCGAACGACATCGATGCGATCGAGTTGCTGATGAAGCAGAGCCACAGCCAAAACAACGCGACGTTAACCATCTGGTCGAGCGATGGCGATCTAGTGAATGCAGAGCGATTGTCTGCGTTGATCAAACGTATCGGAACCGATAAGGTGTACGTTGACGTGCCGGATGATCTAAAGAAGAGACTCGATCTCTCGGGAGCCTCTAGCGTCGGAATCGCGTCTACGACGATCGCGGTGTCTCTATTGATCGGAACGCTTCTTTCGACTATCACGACAACGGTTTAAATGTAAATCATCGGTCGCGTAAACTGGAGAAATTTCAGAATCGGACTCGCATTTATTTCCGTCTCCTCGAGATAGATTTCTCGTTAAAGAGAACGAAACTTCGCGCATCGGCGAGGTAACGAATCAAAAGTATCATCGAAAGCGTAACGATCGTCCTCCGATCGACCGTTTTCTCCGCTATCTATTTTTTAGTGTGTGAACTTATTCGCGAGACATTTTTCTTCATAATTTAAGAGAGCTTTCTTAGACTATCACGATCACGACCAAAATAATTTTGCTTCTTAATCGAACGGATATAATAGCGCACTTTTCTCGTTTCCGAACACGGTAATTCGTCTTTTTACCTTGTTGGCACGCTTTATAGATTCGTCCCGTATGATTTTCGACGTGGAACTAATAGGATAGAGTAAGATAATAGAAGAATATCGTAATTAAGGTAAAGAGCAAATGTTTCCATAGTTCTGATAAGCGAACTTGCGTATACGCATCCGTCGTCGTCGGTGTCGGCGTCGGCTTCGAGAGGAAATGTAACTGAAAGAATCGCGATGTGTTTCGAATAGATGGTAGGTACGCGTTACGCGTTAACAATAGTGTATCGGCTATGCGAACCGCTTACGCCGCGCGCCGTCTTGCAAACTTGAAAACATAATCACACTTTTTTTGCTGAAACACTTTGATACTATGCGATTAGAAAAGATTTAATGAGCGACAGAAAATTCAGATAAGAACGTCGCGTTTACGTGGTCTCGCGTATCGTTGCCGTCGGCACGCGAGAATAACCATAACGAATCGGCGATAGACGATCGAAGCGTACAAGTGGGTTCGTTCTTCTCGCGTGCCAACGGTAATTTAAAATAGTTGAGCAAATATTTACATTGTATTATTCGAATTGATTCCGTTGGAATAAATTTACTCGAAACCGATGACGCGATCAACGTTTGTCGCGAGTAGAGCGGTATGGAATTTATTAATCGAGAATCGATCAAGGCCACCGATCGCGATCGTACGCTTGCGACTTTCTTCGCGAAAACGAGTAATCGAGTAATATAATACCTCTTCATAATTCAACGACATATCTCCTGTACCTGTCTTCTACGAATATCTGACATAGAAAAGCGATATTAATATTTACGCGTAATCCGTGCGACGCGTATATCTGTAAGCCAAAGGATTTGCATGGGGTGTAATACGGTGCCGGTGCGCCACATTTGATAACTAAACAATAAAATCATGTCCAACGAGCCGACAAAATTTTCTTCCGTGTCATTTCCTTGTTTTGTTTCTTAGCTACAATTATAGATCGATTCGATTCTGAAATCGTCCAAACGGTCGAATGGCGAGATAAGCCGAAAAAGGGAATTCAACGGAGAGGTTGGAACTCCAAATGTTTAATCCTTCGAATAGATGACGGTTGGTTGCTCGGATAGTTTGGTATATAGCACGGTATATCCGTAAATTGTCTCGATCGCGAATCGTTGAGCTAGAAAAAATATCGCACGCGATCCACTATGCAACACTCGTCTCGTTGACACGCGAATTCTGATTCCGGGGAATAGCAGAGCGACCTATAAGCACAATCTAGAGAGATAACCTCCTGAACCTGAGAAACAGTTTTCAGATCGAAAACGGCGCAGCGTGTCGCGCTCGCGTGTCCGCGTCGATTCGAGCGGCACCGTTTTCTTCTTCTCAACTATCCACGAATACTTGAAACGATCGGATCGGTGAAAACGAACGAAGAGATTAAGTTAACAATGCGGGAAACATCGAAACAAAGAACACAGGTATGCATGCATCGTGGTTGGCACGAAGCCGAAGACCGAGAGAAAACGATTAGCGAGCGTTTCCGATCCATCCACGATCCGGAAAGCCAAAGAATAGCCTTGACTAGAGAAAGAGGTTCCAGGAACGAGAGTTCACGCTCCCTCGGTCTGGTCGTTATTTTTTACCGAATGCCGAAAGTCGTACTCCGAGCATTCGAACTGGCTCACTGGCTGGCCGAGACTCCAAGAGGTTCAAGTGTTCCCTGCGACGATGCAATTGGTGGGCGGTCTCTCGGGTCGTTTCTTTTTTCATTTGCCGGACCTTAAACGCGCTCGTTGACACGAAAACCATGAATAATTGCGGTTCGTGGTCAACGAAAATCGTCCAAGGAATTCCACGGAAGCGAGCGTTTTCTACGCCGCGCCTGCGTATGTCTCTCGTCGCGTTCCTTTCGACGAGTAGTCGCGCGTTCAAGAATAGAAATACGAAACCACCACGACCCCGCACCTTCGGACAAAGCCGTGGCCGCGGCCGCGGCCGCGAACCGCCTCGAGAGTTGGCGCGAGTACCTTTCGCGAATAAGTTGATTCCTTCGTTTTCGTATCCGTTTGGGCCCACTGGCCCCCCTATAGCTCGGCTACCTCGGGATCGCTAAGCCCGTGCCGTAGCTACGAACGAACATAGCGTAGCTACAGCTCCCGAGGAGCTGGCAAATTCCTTTTCTTCGAACGACGCCAAACTTCCTTTTACCGACTTCCTGTCCGAGCAGAAAAGGACCGATGACGAATCGGTGATGGGTTCTCGCGATAGGTGACGAGCTAGCGCCATTCTCGAAAATCGAATCGGAGCGGAGCGGAAACCGTCGAGTAGTCTAGCTGGAGTTTGCTTATCGCGGGAGCATCGCGACCCGCTTAAAAGGACGACAAAAAGCATCCGACGACCTCTTCGTACGCGACGAAAAACCAGTTCCTGTTGTACCGGTTGTAAGCCTGCCGCCGCGATCCTATCGACCTCTCATTCTCGCGTTGCGCCATTCGACCGGATTTCGTGGTCCTCTCGATCGTCTCTGAATGGCGACGCGAAAGTGAATGGGAGTGGGCGCAGTCGAAAGGACGACCGGTCGAGTATGCATGTAGCCGTCTCGTCGCGTCGCTCACACGGATGCGGACGCGGACGATCAGAAAAATGAGGAGGACGGAACCGGGACCGGGACCGGGACCGCGACCGCGACGTTACGCTTATCGACCGCGAAGCGTGACAGGAAAACACGTGTACCTGCTGCTGCGCGCGATACGAAGAGATAAACGAGTCCACGGAGGATGAATTCCGCTCGGAGGGCTATTTAAATTCAACACGATTTCTCGCTAAATTTACGATAACGAACGGTTGTTTATCCATCGCTTTCGAGTGTTGGTAAACGGATCGACCGATGGAAAGGATAAATGGAAAGAAAAAGGAGGACGTCTACGACGAGAATCTTGGGGAATTCCCGTCTGTTAATAGAAACGCGCGAACGTTAAAATTGAGACGAGAATTGCGATGGACTCGATGGACGCGTTATTGAGGAATGCACGAAAAGAAGAGCGCGCGGAGTACGATGCCGTGGAAAAGCGAGACGTCCCGGAGCGACGCTGTCTATCGCGTGTGAGGGGTGCAGCGGTGATGCGCCTCGTCTCGCCTCGCCTCGCCTCGTCCATGGGAACTCGTGGAACGTGGGACGAGAATCGTGGATCTTGGAACGTGGAACACCGCGTGCACGTTCATGTTCACGTTCACGTTCACGTTGCGGTGGCAGACGGGCGAGACGAGACGGCGCACAGGTGAGGGACGAAGGGGACACAGAAAAGCGCCGGTGGAGGGCAACCAGGAGGGACGGGAGAGGGAGACGAATATCGCTTGCACGCATGCGCAGTGCGTTCCGCGATCTCTCAGCCCGCCGGCCGGAGAGGCTGGCCTCAGTCGCCCGCGACATTCGGTCCGCGATACGATTCGGTTTGCGCGTTCAACTCGAAATAAAAGAAACGAGAGAGAAAAAGATAGATAGATAGGGTAAAAGGGAGGGTATCGTATGCCGGTTCCAGCGAGAAAAAGGCGCGCGTTTTCGCTAATCGTCAAGGAAAAGTGTACGTAGATCGAACAATTGTGTAAACGTGAAAGAAATCGAGATTTAACGTGTTCGGGATCGGAGCGAATCCGCTCGTATCGTTGGGAACGCGCAATGGATGCAGGATTATCCGAGGGAACGACAGACGAAGGGAAAAGGCGCGAGACGTGAATGGAATCGTTGCGAGGTAGCGGTGTTCGACGGTGAAAGAATTACCGTTGCGCCGACGTTGGCTCGATTTTTACGAAATCAAGGAAACTGAAACGCTGCCAAAAAACAGCTGCGCCTTCGTGCCTCGAGTTACACGGTTCGCGTCATCGACAGATATTCGTGTTTTCTGCCGTGCCGCGATAGAACCACGTGGAATTCGTCCGCGTCGCGGAACCGACCCGAACCGATCTCGAACGTGCTATCGCGTGGTCGACATCGTCGATCGCTCGTACGCTTGTGTACGCCAACCATTGATGTCTCGATCGTGGCAACGGCGAGTCGCGGATCATCGTGAGCCGAGCTGCGCATCGATCGCGATGCATCGTTGAAGAGGCGCGAATCGCCGGCGACGAGCAACCGAGCGAGGAACGATCGCGTGGCTGAGAGAATAAATAATGTAAGCCGTAGCCGAGCGAAGAGAGAAGAGAAAAGCGAGAAGAGAGAAGAGAGAAGAGAGAACGGCTCCGGTAGACGAAATGACGCGCGACGGGAGACTGTTGCTACTCTTGGTTTTTCTGATGGCTTACGGTTTGTTCGTGGCCGAGAGTAAGCATCGTCAGCGCGAGGACACGGCTAGGGATGCGAGACATCGGCACAGGCACAGACACGAGTCTTCGACCGGTCGAAAAAATCGTCACGATCTGGCCACCGGACGATCCTCTTGGTCGCGGGAACTCGACTACGTCGACGACTACTCGCTCGTACATCGAACGGATCGTCAGGACGAGGAGGAGGAAGACGAGGAGGAAGACGATTACGATTACGATTACGATTACAACGCTCGAATCTTTTACAAAAGATCGTCGAGGCTCGGTATTCGCGGCCGGACGTTCGCGCCACGCTACCCGGTCAGGTATCATTATCGCGGGGGTTATCGCGGAACCGGCTGGCACGAGGAGAACGACGAGAGACACAGAGGTTCTCCTCGACACGGCTCGAGAAATTACGAACCAAGGTCCGAGAGGACCAACCGTAAGCTCGGCTATTCGAGAAATCGCGATTCCGGCTACGTCTCTGAGGATGACGTGACCGAAAGGGAAACCGAGAGATCTCGCGGCACCAACGTGAAAAACGTTAATAAACATAAAATCGATTCGAAACGTAATCGTCGAACGGACGGTAAGAACGGATACCGCGAGGACCATTCGGACATGTGGAGAAGATTCAACGATAAGAGAAGGAAATCGAATTCCACCACCGAGTTTCGTCTCGCCTTTGATGACAATAAAACGAGAGACGAGAATTCTCGCGATTTCGAATATCGCACGGACGATGTCGACCGCGCGAATAAAGACGATCAACGAGAAATGGAGCAGGAGGAAGAGGAACAGGATGACGTCGACGACGACGACGACGACGACGACGACGACGTCGACGACGAAGACAACGACGGCGAGGTAGAGGACCAAGTCTGGAAAGAAACCGTCGACCAAGTCAGCGAGGAGCTGGACAACGATTTTTACGAGAGTGAAAAAAAGCCACCTTTGAAAACGTATGACGATATCATCAGAAGGCTAACGGCCGACGATACAACGACGCTCAAACCAACGATTAAGAGAGAGTACAGAAACATCGAATTGGAGGAATACTCGAGACGGGACGCTTTCGGAAATTTCAAGTACGAACCCAAGAGCCTTTCCAGGTCTATCGGTCGCAATAAAACGGACGGTTCTCGCTACGTTCATTCCGGCAAGAAAATCGTCGAGAATTCTTACGGCAAACCTTTCGACTCGCTAGCCGAGCGTAAATTAGTGAAGAATGTCAGCAGCGTCGCGGCGAAAATGATCGATCGACGGGAGAAGAAAGTCATCCCAAGGATCGACGATGCACGACTCAAGACAAAGAGTCTCGAGCAAGATTACGACGAGTACTCGAATAATCCGGACAACGAGAAGGAGGAGGATCTTGTCGAGACTGGAGTCGAGGGAGACACGGCCATGCAGGCGGACGTTACCAATACGGTGAGTGAGTCTACTTCGTTCACGCGTCGATAGCTGACTATGGCTAAACGAATGGACACACTGAAACGATACAGATCTAGTTTAGTCTAATCTAGCGTATCGGCGAGCGTTTCTTCGATATTTAGCAGAAAAGGTGTTGCCGTTTCGCCGGTGGATGTGCTCCTTGTTAGCATTCGAGTAGAGGTAGCGTTGCGTGCGTTCCTCT